GGTTTCAGATTTGAGCTTTGGGCATGGAGAAAATTATGTTGGGAGCGTCACTTTCAAATGAACCTTACAGTGCAAGATGTGAATTTAATCGAAACTCTAATATGGATTCCGAACTCCGACATCGAGTGGAAAACCATAAAATAATTATATTGAAAATTATATTAAGAGATATAAGTATCTTAGGATGGTAATTTGTAACTAAATGGATGGATGTTCGGAAACCAATAGATCAAATATCAAGATACAATCATATAGAATAAGGGTAAGATAATTGTTATTGAAAAATTCACAATTTTTTTTTTTAGTTGTTATGTAATAGACGCAAATATGAATAAATGAGAGTCTTCATAGAATAAATTTTGCGAATAGTATTTACTAAGGTTTAGCAATAAATAGTGTCTTATTCCTTCATCGAATTTCTATTCATTTACCAACAATACTTTATTACTTTGTGTTATCAAGCTCTTAAAATATGTGATTCATTATTTTGAACAAACATTCAAGAAAGATCAAATGACATTATCAACTATTAATAATGGATCTTTAAGTCACATTAATAGAAGAAGTTACACTAACAAAATCAAGTGTTTTGATTATTTCAATCCACAAATTTTTGAGTCATATTTATGAATCTAACTATATAATTTAAGGGTAAATAATAATAATAATATTATGCTTTTTGCTTTCGAAATACATTTTCTAAACTTTAATAGCATGATATCTATTGAGTAAAAAATCCAAAGGTATATTTAGTCTTGCATCCGAAGGAAGCAATAGCTTGCTAGGATAAAATTAACAAAAGATTGTGGTGCAGTTTATGAAGTTGCTTCTATGTTAATCGAAAGTCTTGAATTCTAGTTTTGTACATGAAAAAAATCTCGATAAAAATATTTTTTAAATAATATTTTACGAGATATGAATCTAGATTAGTAAAGTCTTTCTATTAGACGGAAAGGGAAAAAAAAAACATAGCTAGTGGGAGCGTAACGCATGAGGGGTGGGGAGGGGGGGAGGGGGAGCAAGCACAAGTGGGTTGGTTTGAGGATTAGTAGTAGTATTTTTATGAAGAAAGAAAGGGGGTGGCCAAAATAGTTGGAGAATTTCACTAGTATAATCAAAGTGACATGTGGGGGGTGGGTCGCATTTTGGGGGGATAAACATGAGCTTATAACTTTGTCCACTTTATAATGTTGAACATTTTTTTTTCTTTTATTCCCTTTTTAACACCGTTAGAGTCGGGTCAGAGCAGTAAATACTTATTCGTTCTTAGTTAATAAATTTGAAATGAAGTTATTTTTGTTAGAAAACGTTCTGTACTTTAAGTTGGATTTTTCAAGCATGAATTCAGATGGCAATATAAATCAAATAAAAATCATCATCAACAACAACAATATACGAGTGAAATCCCACTCAGTGGAGTTTGGGGAAGGAAGAATGTACACCGACTTGACTATTATTATTTCGTAAAAATAAAAAAGTTATTTACAAAAGCCTAAATATCTAATAAAAAAAATGTTGATAAAAGGAATGAGGTAAATGAAAAAAGTGTGATGTAGGGAAGTTGCTTTAAAATATATTCAATCTTTAAAAGTAGTGCAATTTAGCCTATAATTATATATATTTAACATCAAATAGAGAGATTTAATCTCAAAAATCCCTCACCATGCATATATCAAATGTAAAACTTAGCTAAATTGAAGAATTGGTGGCTTAGAATTGAAGTTCATATTGTTAAGCTTACATTAGGTCCACTACTTATCATGAATATTCTATTTAATTTTTTATTTCATTATCATCATTATATAGAAAAAGTGAAGAGGTAAGTGGATCAAGGACACTTTTGTCAATGCACACACCATCAAACATTTTCATTAATTAAAAAAGGACAATCTTAGTGTAGATTACAATTAAATACTTTTACAACTTGACTATTTTACCCTTCTTCATTCAAAGCTACAACGATGAATGTTATGCCACAAGTTCTCTCAAGCTTATTCTAACCTTGTCTTTGTTTTCACTTTTGCTTTTCTATGCTTTCTTATGCCCACATGTTTTCCCTTCCTATTTTCATAATTTTGTTTTGGTGGGTCGCGGGTTGAATTTAATTATATTTCATTTAATGGAATGTATTGGAAGAAATAATATATATGAATTAGCTTTGTCTATCAGTAATATTTCAATATTACATGAGTTATACATTTTATTGTGTATTAAGGAGCGTATTACAAATAAATGAAAATCTATAGTTATTACTTATTAGTAATGTAAGGAGATTTTAATGCATGCGTTAGCATATGGTTAATGTCCCGATTATCCCTCAAAATCCTTTTTACATATTCTATTGACTCAATTTATTTTTTTGGTTTCTCTCTTGGTGTTTCATACCTGCATTAAAGTTCAATTATTTCGGATTCGTGTCGCGTAGAGCCTCATTCGTGAGAAAACATTTTTTGTGAAGGATTTATTATAACCAAGACTTGAACATGAGACTTTTAATTTTTTTAAAAAGCACAATACGCCGCACCATGTTCGTTGATAGTTTTTTCTTTATTTTCTTGTTTGTTTGTTTTTTTTTTTTGCAAAAGCTGCGAGAAGCTAACAACCAATTTCTTTAAAGCACCTTGGTTTCAACTATAAATCGAGAACATGTCACAAATTTGTTTTTCTTTCCGAATAATATTTTTACATATTTTATTTGAAAAAGTATTTAATTATGAAAAATATCAAATTCAACATGAAATATATTTCAAATAAATTACTAACTTATTTTAACTTACTTTTCAATTTAAAACTATACAAAATAAATTCAAATAATGTCCTAAGAAGAAAGAACATACTATTCTTTGTTTCAATTTATTTTCCTTTTAAGTCCGTCCAAAAAATGTCTTTTTTTGTTTGAGTAATTCTTAAATTTTAACTTTTTATATAATAATATTGTTAAGATCACAAAATAAAGAATATTTCAATACATTATAGATATTTTTTACTTTAAAGTCATAAAACTAAAAAAAAAATCTTACTTTCTTATACTACGTGTTAATTTTACGTCAGATAAATAAATTAAGACAGAATAAAATGAGTAGTACTTTATTAATGCCTCATCAAAACACATTGCCAACGTTCGTCCTGTATACTGACAATTCAAACGAAACAAAAAGAAAAGAAAATATCTTAAGAGGAAACCTATATATATTATTCGATATTTGTATTGAAATTTAATTAAATATAATTTATATTTGGATTTTTTTTATATTAATGATGAAAATATATTTTTTAACAAAGACGATTTTATATTTGAAGACTTAAATTTAATATCTCTAATTAAAATTAAAATATTTATCACTTCGCCTTGATAGAGAGGAAACCTTGCACAAGAGGGAAGAGGCAAACCGACGTAAATCGCAGAAAAAAAAATATTATGTCAGTCATGATCTATTGTATTTGTTCCATTAGTGGACATTTATTAGATTTTGTAACAAAGAAAATCTATTACTTATTTATGATAGGGTACACATATATAGAGATAGATATACATAAAAACAAAAATTATACCAACAATGTAATAGAAAAGTATAGTTTATAATTTCTTCAACTTGCATTTTTTTCTGATCCATCGAGAAAAAAAGTTATTTTTTAAAATAAAAAGTAGGAGGTAATATTAATTTTGGGTCTAACTCAACCCTTAAAATTAGCTTACGAGGGTAAGATTGTCAAGTTCTTAAAAAAAGACGAGGGACTATTTATCTCATTAACCATCCGTGTAAGGTTTTTTCAATTTATATATTTACTAATAAAAATATAATTCTAATTAATTACTAAAATACTTTTTAGTTTTACTTATGAATTTGAACACATACATTTTAAAATTTATTAAACTATTTATGCTAGAAATGCCTATTACCTTAAACCTTAAGTAGCTCACGAAAGAAAGCGTGAAAGTAAGCATAAATTTTTCCATTATTTATAAAAGTGGTACACGCACATAAAAAAATGAGTAATTGAATGATAACTTATTCTGTTTTGTTCCTTCCTCAACAAGATTGAGAGGTTTCCTGATGTAAACTCCTTAGGTACGATTTTCAGAGTTTACGTGAATATCTTATCTTCGTAGAAAGCTGCCAACTTAAGATATTTCCTAATTCAAGTGTGAACTATAGTTTTGTATGATAAAACTAATATGTTTATCAAACATCTGACTTACTTCTGCTTAGACGAAAATACGAACAAAGAAAATGGACGATAAAAATTCTTTTAAGTCATCTCAATGATGTTTAACAGCCACGCGTTTCTTCTAATCAGTTTAGCGACTGGAGTTAATATATACTCCATTTGACATTACTTTGAAAAAGACCAAATATTTTATAATAAGAATTAATTAGAGACTAACTATTAAACTAATTATAATTAAAACGCGTTGGGCGGTGGATGATTAGGCCCTTATGAAAGCGACCATCTGACTGAAAATAAGATTTGCCGCGATCTTCGAATGCAACTTGCAAATTAATACTCATAAATCAATAATTATCTTAATTTGATTTTTTTAAAAAAGAATTAATCATTAACTCCCCCAATATAATATTTTAGTCCGTCTTAAAAATTGAGTAAATTTTGGAAATAGCAAACATAAAAATCATATTAGCGCTTTATAGCTATAGTTTTGTTATTTGCGCTCCATACCAAACATAGTTTGTCATGGATCGTTTGATTTGTATAAAATTGCAGCTTTGTGTTTATCAAAATTGTGTTTGTATATGTAT